AAGTTTGTAATGTTTGATTTTTAAAATAATCTATAGATACTACATTATACTCCCTCCGTTTCTAAATATTTGTCTTTGTAGAGATTTTAAATGGACTACCACATACGGATGTATATAGACATATTTTAGAGTGTACATTCACTCATTTTGCTTCGTATGTAGTCATTTGTTGAAATCTTTAGAAAGACAAATATTTAAAAACAGAGTGAGTATCACGTAACTGGACCCGCCCAGTACACTCGACCAGTATGCGTTTGCTCCACATTATGACGCAGCCAGCATCAAATCGGGATTTCCCTCCTATACGGCGCCTTCAGCGCTAGTTCTTTTTTTTTATTGAGAAACTTTTTTTTTGAGACAATTTTATTGAGAAACTACAGCGCTAGTTCGTGACTTGGCTCTCGCGCGAAGGTCTCGGTGGGCCGGCCCGGTGTACACACGCACCACATACTCCAATATGCCCCTAAAAGAGCATAATCCAGCATGCGAAAATAAAAAGAATAAAATTAAAACAATTCTCGGATTTGAAAATAAATTCGTGAAGTAAAAAAACTTCATTAATTTTTAAAAAACTCAGGATTTCTAAAAAGTTCACTGCATTTTTAAAAAAATTGCGGATTATAAATAGTTTCTCAATTTTGAAGAAAATATTCCTGAATTTTAAAATTGTTCATTGGTTTTGAAAACAAGTTGACGATTTTTTTTAAAGTTAATATATTTCAAGAAAAGTTCATAAATCAAAACTTCATGAATTTCTGTAGGAAAAAGTTCATAATTTAAAAAATATGTTCACAATGATTTTGAGAAACAAATCGTAGGTTTAATAAAAGTATTCGGTTTTGAAAAAGAAATAACGAATTTGGATAAAGTTCCTAGATTTCCGAAAAAAGTTCATCATTTATATATAAAACTTTCATAGATTTGGAAAAAAAACTCACGGATTTTGAAAACACAGTTTAATAGAATAGTTATAAAAAATTCATGAATTTGAAAATACTTCATGACATTTGAAAAAACTTCACTTGAAAGTTAGCAAAAAATGGACCAAATGTTTTTTGATTGCAAAAAAGTTGGTGAAAATTGGAAAAGTATTGCGAAGTTTGAAAAAGATTCACAAATTTGAAAATAAAACGAATTTTTCAAAATGACATACATTTACGGAAGTAAAAAAGAAACTAGAAAAAAGGAAATAAAATTGTATAAGAAAATAAAAAGAAAATGTAAGACCAAGTGAAAACCAAAGAAAAAACCGGCCAAACAAAGTCGAAAGAACATGAAAACTAGAATCTTTGTTGTTAGCGTTACGTTTGATACACAACAAAGAAGTAAAATAAAAAAGAAAAAACTTATACATGGCAAAAGAGGTCTCGCAGGTGGTTATCGCGTCTGGTGGTTAACCTTGTGGTTCGCAGTTTGAGTCTCGGATATGCCCATTTTTTGTTTTTGAAAAAAAGGAAAAATGTAAATGGGCCGAGCTCAATGTGAAGCGGGGTGTGCGTTGGTTTGCACAATAGCCTTAGCCGGTGCTAAAGGCGCCGAATAGGAATTGGTGTGGATTTTGGAGTTTGGGGCTTCTGTTGGAGTATTCCCAAGTTGTTTGAATTTTTTTCTCCTTGTCGCGAGTGTTTGCGTTAATAAAAATGCCCTTTAACTTGGTAGTTGGTGTGTTTGTCAAGGAGAGCAAGTGGCTAACTTTTGGTGCGGTGAGTTCAACACCTTATTTTGTGATGTTATGCGGTATGTTCTGGTTTCTTCAACTCTCTTGGACCGGTGGTGATGGATTGCAATTTTGTACCGTGTGGGGGTGATGCTCCAACCATTATATTTTTAAGCGATTTTCTATGTCTTGTTGCAAGCTGCGAGCGGGTATTGTGGTCTTTAAAGTCTGGTATGGCAAGCGCGTGTAGGTGTCTTTTTTGTCTTTTTGCTGCTGTTGTTGTTGTTGTTGTTGTTAGAGCATCTTCGACAAGTGGTGTACAATCGGAGATGAAGAAGGCCAGTACGATCTTCTGAATAATTTTACATTTTATCGGTCATTCTGTGTCAGTTGTCTTCCTGTTGTACCACTGATTGTTCCTTTATATATTTACCAGATCTAATATGCCCTTTGGTAAAAAAAAATTCTTTCTAATATCTTCTCATTCCTTGCACCGGAAAAAACGGGGACTTATCCTGTACTGTGATATCTCAAATCCTAGAACCATCAGTCGGAATAATAACATCTTGAGAGATAGGGACACTTTCTCCTCCCCCCTTGGCCCCCGCGTCGCTCCCGCAGGGGCAACTCGGGCGGCGCTAACCCTAGTCGCCGCCGCCGGCCCCTTCCCCCTTCTCCTCTCCCTCGCCACCACCGGAGGGGGTCGCCGGAAAGCCGCACGTCCGCCGGGGAGGGTGGTGGCGAGGATCTGTCCACCTGTTTCGCGCAGGGGATCTGGAGCCGGGGTGGCGGCCTCGGGTGGTGGTGCGTCGTCGTCTTCAGCCCGCGGCGTCGCTGGTGCTGGCCGCCCCCTTGGCCAAGCGGGTGGCAAGGCGGCGGGTGGTGGTGGCTGTGGGGCGCGGTGGCCGCGGGGCGCCCGCCCCGGATCTGACGCCTTCGCCCCCAATCCGTTTCGGCCTCTGTCAGATCTGGCTTCCGGCTGGCCCTGGTCGCCGGCGCCGCGTCTGTGGTAGGGGTGGGGGAGATGGGGGACCTGGAGAAATCCACGGCTAGCTATGCCGGCCACGACGACGGCGACGCCTGAGGGCGCCGTCTCCTACCTGTAGGCACCGTCAAGGTGCCCCCTTCCCCCCTTCTGCCTCTCTCCCCTGCTCGTGCACCGGGGTGAAAACCCAAATCCCCCTGGATTGGGCGGCAGCTACGCTCGCGGCGTCGCCACCTTCATGGAGGTGCCGCCTTCGGTTGAGCATGGGGAGGTGGCAAGTTCGAGCTGGTTGGTGCGTCCGGTGGCGACATGGTTGGCGTTGGCGGGGTCTTGGTGGTTCTTCTCCAAGTCAGTGGCTTCCCAACATTGTCTGCTCTGTCACTAGCAGCCTCACCATGTTTTTTGCTTCTCCTTGAGTGTTGGTTCCCCCTGCTCCATGTTTGCCTTTCTGGAGCTCGGCGACGCGAGTTAGTGGTGCCCTGGTCAGGCTCTCCGGGCGGCAATGGCGTCGGTTGTACATCTTTGCTCTAGGGAGAGCGTTTGCATCGCCCGACGGATCGGCGCCTCGTGCCAGGCGAGGGGCTAGGGAGCCCCTTCGGAGTTGCAGGATGTTGTCAACGGTGCGGTTGGAGTCAATGGGGCTGTCAGCGTTCCCTTACATGCTAGTTGGATCTCCGCAAGGCTTGCTGGTGTTCGGGATGGATTGAACTCGGTGGAGGGCTTCTCTGTCTTCAAGCCGGTCTTGTTCTTTAGTTTTCTTCATCTTTGCTTGTAGATGGTAAGAAGCCTATTAGCTGCTAGCACAGCACTATGTATCCTTTTAGCTGTTTCTTTGTTCTTCTTTATAAGTTGGCGGTTGCTGTAATCCTGGCCGGTTGATGGCTTTGTTAATTCAAAACCGGGCTCGACTTGAGCCTTCGTTCTAAAATAATAATAATAACATCTTGAACTGTTCACGAAGGAGTTTCGAGCAGAAACTTTGTTGTCAAATCCCTTTTTTAGGTAGTATAGAAAAAAAACATATTGCTACAAAAGCGGAAATGATAAATTCCAAATATTCGGGATTTGACCATGGCAAATTGAACGTTTTCGATGACAAGTTTAGTGACACGAGGATTAAAAGAACAAGGATTCAACTAGTATTTCTTTCGAAAAGGAGGAATACCCTCGGCCTCTGCATCAAAGCGATGCATACAACCATTTTTATTATATTATTGGACAGAACCCAACGAAATAAATACATGTATCAATCCGTAGCCACCTTTCTAGCAACCACTGTCGCTACCCTACAATGTTGATGACGTGCCCTGGCCGCGTATGAACACACGGGGAATCTTTCCGGCCGCCTCTCCTTCAAGCAGTGGCCACCACCACCATTCCCACCATGTGAGGTGTCGCCAGTGACTATCGTGCTTGACGAGGACGCCACTGCTAACCAACAGCACACGGTCGACGACCTGCTGACCGTCTTGACCCGACAAGGTGTAATGTCATGTCATGTCCTGGTGGAGGGAGCGTGGAAATTCCTCAAGACCTCCATCGGTGGATCGATCGCGCTTATTTAATGGCCTTCGCTCAAGTTGCATACCAGGCAAATTAAGAGGCGCAGGAAGGCAAGCTTTTCTTTTCTCACAGCAGGAAGCAACAAGGTATGCAATCCTCCATAACTCAGCTTTGTATCTATGTATGTCACTTAGCCATATGAGCTCTTATTTAGCAGTTGTTTGGAACAAGCCAAAGTCTCTGGCTGTTAGTTAGCTGTGCTGCTTGGATATAAGAATCAGTTAAGGGCACTACATGTTCAATTTGCCATCAAATTATAGTACGTATTATGTCTACGGAAAATACACGGGAGTTCCACACCTCTATACAAATATTAAATATATAATATATCAAAAAATTAAAAAAAACTGAAATTTGGGGATATCAAGCCTGGGTTCCCAATCTACTCCCGTATGCAGTTTCATGAGAAAATACCAGGAAACGTATCCGTGGCAAAGGAAATACTGTCCCACCCGTTTTTTCTATGCATAGGATTTTTTTGTCTTTTTTGCCGCGAATACGTTTCCTGGTATTTTTTCATGAAATTCCACACAAGAGTAGATCGGACACCCAAGTTTAATATCGCAAAATCCCAGTTTTTTTTTCTTCAAATTTCTCAGTATTTTTTTAAACTTCATGTTCACATAGGGGGGTTAATTTCCGTTTTCGATGGCAACTAGTAGTATTTAATTTGTTCATGGCTTTCTTTTGCACCAAATTATTAAAGTGTGTGTCTTTGTGTGTTAGAAAGAACCTTCAAGATGACAGGAAAAGCTTACGTTTCTTCTTTGCTCTGCTTCGCAGCGGCATCGATCGATGTTCCCCGTCTTTCTGTTGCTTCTTTTGCTTCTCCGGTCGGCATCGGCAACAACATTCAGCCACCGGACTGATGTGGATGCCTTGTTGGCATTCAAGGCAAGCATAAACAACCAGCGGGGTGGTGTTCTAGATGCATGGAACACAAGTAATACTACCACTACATTCTGCCACTGGCCTGGTGTGGTTTGCAGCCAGCACAGCAGGGTCACGGCGCTTAACCTCACTTCCCAGGGCCTTGGTGGCATAATCACGCCTTCCATTGGGAACCTCACATTCTTGAAAACTCTAGACCTCAGCCTCAACAATTTGGATGGTGAAATACCTCCATCAATTGCTCGTCTCTCTCATCTGCGATATCTTGACTTGTCCAACAACTCACTTCATGGTAATATACACCCTGGCTTGAACAATTGCACCAGTCCTGAAAACATCAACCTTGGAGCAAACCACTTCACCGGAGAAATTTCCCCTTGGCTTGGGCTTGGAGGATTGTCCAGTCTCAAGGTTATACGACTATGGAACAACAACTTCACTGGAACCATCCTGCCATCACTTACCAACCTCTCAGCACTGCAAAATATCGATTTCACCACAAACCAATTACAAGGTGACATCCCTGAGGGCCTTGGTAGGATCACTAGTCTCAACATGATTCAACTGGGTCAAAACCGCCTCTCAGGCATCATCCCTGCAACTTTCTTTAACCTTTCCTCTCTAACCGGTTTCAATGTGGCGGTCAATGAGTTGCATGGTAAACTTCCCTCAAACTTGGGGGATCGCCTCCCAAATCTCAAGTACCTATTACTCGGCTTGAACCACTTCACAGGAAACCTTCCGGCTTCTCTTGTCAATGCAACTGAGATTTATACCTTAGAACTGTCATCCAACAACTTCACCGGTAGATTGCCTCGAGAGATTGGAATGCTCTGCCCGGACACCCTCAGTCTAGAAGTGAATCAGCTAACGGCAGCTACTGCTAAGGACTGGGAGTTCATGACCTTGTTGACAAACTGCACACGTCTCGGTACACTTGACCTTTATTTCAACAATTTAGGTGGCGTGCTGCCAAGCTCTGTTGCCAACCTATCAGCACAACTCCGAGAGCTAGATGTTGGATACAATCAGATTTCTGGAAAGATACCATTTGGCATAAGCCATCTTGTTGGGTTAAATCAACTGGACCTCTCAAATAATCGTTTTACCGGTTCCTTGCCCGACGACATCGGGAGGCTAAATCTGCTCCAGGCTTTGTATTTTGAAAACAATCTATTCACAGGTTACTTGCCATCCTCCCTCGGGAACTTGACACGGCTAGTAATTCTTCCTGCAACCGGCAACCAGTTTGAGGGGCCGCTTCCAACAAGCCTAGGTAGCCTCCAGGAGATGACTATAGCAGACTTTTCACACAATAGGTTCACAGGTCCATTGCCTAAGGAGATCTTTAACCTGTCGTCTCTGTCAAATTTGCTAGACTTGTCTGACAATTACTTTTTTGGTCCTCTTCCACCACAAGTCGGCAGCCTGACAAACCTTGCATACCTATATGTATCGAGGAACAACTTATCAGGTCCCCTACCCAATGAACTTAGCAACTGCCAAAGCCTGACAGAACTCAGATTGGACCATTACTCCTTCAACAGTAGCATTCCCTCATCTATCAGCAAAATGCAAGGTCTGATGTTGCTAAATCTTACAAAGAACACACTCTCTGGTGTGATTCCTCAAGAGTTAGGGCTAATGGGTGGCACTGGAGAGTTGTATCTCGGACACACAACCTTTCTGGCCATATCCCTGAAAGTTTGGAGAACATGACATCATTATACCGGTTAGACCTGTCATTCAACCATCTAGGTGGCAGAGTTCCATCACGGGGCGTGTTCAGTAATGCATCTGGGTTTTTGTTTGGTGGTAATTTGGGGCTTTGTGGTGGAATATTGGAGTTACATTTGCCCCCATGCCCGGCAGAACCCATGGGACATGGTTTGAGGAAACACCATTTCATCACTACAGTAGTTATCCCAATTATTGCTGGCATAACTCTGTGTGTGAGTTTCGCACTTGTTTTCTTCACAATGAGAAAGAGATCGAAAGCTCGATTGACAGCCGTACAAGGATTTCAACTGATGGATGACCGTTATCCAAGAGTTACTTATGCTGAACTAGTCCATGGAACAAGTGGCTTTGCTTCAGACAATCTATTGGGTGGAGGAAGGTATGGATCAGTGTACAAGTGCTGTTTGCTGCTAAGAAATATGATGACCACAGTAGCTGTAAAGGTTTTTGATCTTCAACAGGTTGGCTCTTCAAAAATCTTTATAGCTGAGTGTGAGGCACTTAGTAAGATCCGCCATCGTAATCTGGTCAGCTTCATAACTTGTTGTTCGAGCTCTGACACGAACCAAAACGACTTCAAATCCATTGTGTTCGAGTTCATGCCTAATGGGAGCCTAGACGGGTGGATACACATGGATGTGCATGCATCACATCAACTCCAAGGCATGACATTGATGCAGAGATTGAATATCGCAGTGGATGTCGCTGATGCGCTTGACTATTTGCACAACAGCTGCGAACCACCAGTAATTCACTGTGACTTGAAGCCGAGCAACATTCTTCTCGACAAGGATCTAGTTGCTCACGTCGGGGACTTGGGCCTCGCAAAGATTCTTGCTAAACCAGCCGCGGAGCAACTGATTAATTCACAGAGCTCGGTTGGAATACGAGGAACAATTGGATACGTCGCTCCAGGTATAGCTTGACTTCTCTCTAACGTTAAACAACAATTTTGCATGCAACTTAGCTCACGGAATTCCCTTTTTTCTTTCTTTCAAACAAACGCAGAATACGGCCAAGGTGGTCAAGTTTCTTCATGCGGAGACGCATACAGCTTTGGAATTGTCATCCTCGAGTTGTTTACAGGGATGGCACCTACTCATGACATGTTCGGAGACGGGTTGACCTTGCAGAAGCATGTAGAGGATGCAATTCCAGGGATGCTAATGCAGATTGCTGATCCAGTCCTGCTGTCCATTGAAGAAGCTAACGCGAACACAGTGGAACATGTCAGCAATGCCATATTCTCCGTCATGAAGGTTGCGCTATCATGCAGCAAGCATAATCCGACAGAGAGAATGCGCATCAGAGACGCGGCTGCTGCGATTCACAGGATAAGGGATGCTCATGCACATTAAGGTATACTAGATGACATAACGAGGAAGCCAATAAATATAAGATATAACTGCACATAAACGCAGGTCCTTTTTTGCTGAAACAAGTGTGTCACTCACGCGCTTAATTGGCTTTGTAGTGTTTATTTTGTATTCCAGTCTAGGTGTGGTTTAGCCTCTAGCTGGCCCTGTTTGGTTAGCATGCTGATCTGTCCTTTGCAGTTGTGCTTGTCTAGGTGTGGCTCTCGTGGCGTGGCTTGTATGTGGGGAATAGTTTTGTACGGTGAACTAGTAGTCCCATATCCATATGTATTGGTCATTGTTGGCCCTGGCTGTTCTAAAGCCAGGAAATTAATGGTGGGTTACCTTTCATGTAAAAGGCAACATGTGTAAATTACAGGCAATTTTGCTGTAAATTACAGAAGTTTGCCTCTTGCCTGGCCAGAAATAAAAAAGTTCTAACAATCACAAGATAAGACCTGACAGTAAAACCGATCTCGGCGACTTGCAGCAAGTAAAGTTGATCAACATAAACAGGCAGTTGAAAGATGCAGAGTGGACGATGCCCTAAGATGAGCTCATTCTCAAACTCTCAACTAACATCAACTCGGGAAAACGATGGCCGTACCTGCTTCAGCTTGCGCGCTGCTGCAAACCTGGCAATTAAGTCAGCAGAAAATGGAGCTGAGGACTCTGAGCTCTGCCTTTTCTTTTATTTATATTATAGAGGAAAGGAAGACTTGCTGGTAGTAGTTGAGCCCTCTTGCAACCATACGCCTGCTTTCTTCCGACCTGTTACACGAATGAATTCTTTCACTGAAAACCTCTTGTAGTATTTGCAAGAAAACCTGCAGCTCGGATGGGATGCAAAACATGCTATTCTAAAAGATGTGCTACCATGGTGAAAAACAACCAGTTCTTACCCAGATACTACTCCCTCCGTCCCAAAATGTTTTACGTTTTTTGACTCTAGTGTAGTGCCAAAAAGCGTCTTATATTATGGGACGGACGGAGTACTTCAGCCTGGGGATTTCAGACAAGTACTCCGTCCGCCCGGAATGTCATTGAAATAGATATATTTAGATGTATTTTAGTTCTAGATACATCTATTTTCATCCATTCCGATGACAAGTATTTCCGGACGGAGGAAGTATCAGCAATGAACTCTGCCAGTGCCAGTGCCAGTGCCAGTGCCTGGCAAGAAAGAAGACAGCACTTGCCTGTGGTTTCAGACAAGTGCAGTGCAGGGGATGGATGGGGAAAGCGCCGGCCACAGCAGCATCCACAGGCAGGCAAACGAGGGCAGGCGGCGGTGGGGGCTTCCATCCCTAACTTGACCTCGGAGGGCTGCCGCGGCCGACGAGACGGCGTGTGGCGCGGGGCTCGGCTCTGCCCGGAGGCGGCGTCCCCGACGGAGAGGACGGAGCGGTCAGGCGCCGTGGCGAGGAGGCCAACGACGGCGCCTCCGCGCGTCGTCCAGATCTCGCCCATCCGCCCTGCACTGCACGCGACAGCGGGGCCGGCGACGAACCTCACAAGCGGGCTCCATAACTGCATCTCTGAACAAGTGTCTAAGGGCATCTCCAGCCATTGGCCCCCCAGGGGGCGTCTAAAAGCGCCGCCGGGGTGAGCCGGCGCAAAAAATGGCCCTGGGGCGAGTCGGTCCCCAGCCGTCGGTCCCAAGGGCCGCCCCGGGCGCGTATTTAAAAAAAAACCGTTCAGCGAAGTTATGATAAAAACTAGTTATATTTCGGCCAACCATGGCAAGTTTCGGCGAAATTCGTCCAAACATTACATTAACCTAATCTAAAGTAAAAGAAAGTGGCTGAAGTCGTCGCCGCCATCGTCGTCGTCGGCCTTCTCCTCCTTGACGCGGGTGCCCCTGTTGGACCCCTGCCCGGCGTCGCCTTGGCGAACAGGCGGCGGCGCGTCGTCGTCGTCGTCGCTGTCGCATAAGACGACGACCCCACCTTCCTCGCGGCCGCGTCGGCGCTCCTCGAAGCGGCGTAGGGCGGCGCACTGGCGCTCCTTCTCCTTCTCCCGGCGCGCCTTCTCCAACGCGATGGAGTCGTGGCGCGCCCATTCGAGGGCCGCGTCGTCGTCGTCGAACTCCGCGTTCACCGGCGCCAGCCCTGGCTCCGTCTTCACCGGCGCCAGCCCCGACTCCGTCTTCACCGGCGCTAGCCCCGGCTCCGTCTTTGGCTTGATGAAGCGCGGAGGAGCCGACGAGGACGAGGCGCGCCGGCCGCCCTCGTTGATGAACGATGCCGGCGCTGCGAGTGCGCCGGCCGAGCGGCGTCTCCGCCGTGGGCTCGGCCTTGACGCCGAGCAGCACCGGAGAGCCGGAGGAATGGGAAGAAGAGCGCGGCGAGGAGGAAGAAGAAGAAGCGCCGAACCTCCTTGGCGCCCATGGCCCAACGCGTCGGTGCTGCGCCGGGGCGGCCACCCTCGCCGGGGGGTACGCCAACGGCGGGTCGTTGCCGCCCTCGAGGTACGTGAGCACGCCCTCGAGTGTGCGGCCGGGGACGCCCCACCAGAGGTGGCGCCCCTCGCTGTTCTGCCGGCCGCCGACCACCGGAGCGCCGTTGGTGGACGCCAAGTGCTGCTGCTGGCGGCGCTGGAAATACGCCGCCCAGGCCGCGTGGTTGTCGGCGGCGTACTGGGGGAGGGAGCGTTGGGCGTCGGTGAGGGACGCGCGCACGATGTCGACCTCCTCGGCGAAGTACCTCGGCTTCGCCACGGCGTCGGGCAACGGGGGAATGGGCACTCCCCCGGCGCTGAGCCTCCACCCCGTTGGCCCGGCGCGCATGTCCGGCGGCGCCGGGATGTTCGCCTGGAACAGGAGCCAGGACTCCTGTTCGCGGAGCGAACGGCGGCCGAAGCCGTTGGCCGCCGCCTCGTCTCCGGGGAAGCGCTCTGCTATGGCGACGGCGGGGCTGGGCGGGCTCGGGAGAGGTAGAGGGAGGGGCTGGGCGGCGGCGCTCGGGAGAGGCAGGGAGAGGGAGGGGCTGGACGGCGGCGAGGGGGGAGGGCTGGTGTGGGCACAGGCGAGTGGAGGCCGCCGGCTTTTATAGCCGGGCCGCGCCCGTGTGTACGCGTGCGAGGGAGAGGAGGCGTCGGCGCGCCGTCCCATGAAGCGCCGCCCGTGAGGAATCAATGGCAAGGCTGGCCGGCGGCAGCCTTGCCATTGATTCCCTGCGGGAACCGAGGCCGTTGGGGGAAGACGAGGCGCCGAGTCGCTGACGCGGCGGGCCCGCGTCTTTTTCGCGCCAAAACAGTTCGCCCCGGCGCCTCCGTGCGCCCCCCAGCGCGCCGGGTTCGGGCTGGGTCCGCCGGCACTGTTTTCGTCCCAAGCCGGCGAAAATCGGGCTCCTGGGGGCGCGACTGGGCCGTTTTTTCGGCGCCGGCGCGAAAAAATCGCCTGGGAAGGCCTTCCTGGGGGCGCGGCTGGAGATGCCCTAAGCACTGGTGTACAAGTTCAGTTATCCAGCGGCCATGGTGAACTTAACCCCCATTCGCTCGACGGTCGAGATTGTTACCGTTAAGCTGCCGTCTAGTTACATTTTTTCTTCTTCTTCTTTCTTTCATTAAAGACACACAAAAGGCATCATATAACTGATTAATATTAGGGAAATGTTTGGGGCCGGGGCGCTCCCAAATCGTTTGCGCACTCGCTTCACGCATCACGCGTCTCCACCGATGCCGCATACATGGGGAGACGTGGCTGTGGGGCCACCCACCGCTGGTATCCACACCTGCCTTATCCCCTCGCGGCCACCCACCACTCGCCCACACCTGCCTTATTCCCTCGATCTCCTTCTTCTCTCGTCCACCAACAAGACACAGACTCCATTTTTGCGCCAAAAACTCAAGAGTTAAGCACCACCCCACCTCACACACTTGCCATGGCCGTACATCGTTGTGTTTTGATTCCATCCAGCTCTCAGCCACCCCGTTCCTCGTGGCCGGCGAGCAATCTCCTCAGCTCTTCTTTTCCCATCTAGTTTGATGCTGGGACAACGGGTGCCCACAAATGTTGTGACCGTAGTCAGCGTTCGCTGGAACTAGCCCGTAGATTTGCTACCATCGACAGTCATCAATTTTTTCGCTCGACCCCAACATCGACGTTTAGCTACGAACTGGCCAGCACCTTGCTGGAACCAGTGTCGTCATTTGCTACAACTGGCTAGGCGGCGTGCTGGAAGCAGTGTTCATCGGTGCTGGAACAGGATGAGCCCCTCGCCGTCGACGATTTTTTTGCTGGAACCTGCTAGTTTGTTTGCTACAATCTTTTTCTTTGAAGTTTGCTGATGTGACTTTCTTTGTTGCATTTGGTGTTAATTTTAGCTGGAACGGACTTTTTTTTGCTTCAACTGACAATTAGAAGTTTTTGCTACTGAGATTTTTTGCTGGATCAGTCGCTTTTGTTTTGTTACAACTGGTATTTTTTTAGCTGGAACCGACTAAATGTTTTGCTTCAACTAAACATTTTGGTTTTGCTACAAACTTTTTGCTGAAACACGACGATGCTAGTGATGGTGCGGCGAGCCGGAGCTGATGGTGGGAGAGTTCTTGTTACAACCATGGCTGCGGTGCACTGGAACCGGTCAACAGCTGAAGCTTCCACACAACGAGGCGTCCATGAGAAGAGGGACAGCAAGCTGGCAGCGGCGCTAGTGCTGCAGGGGCCGACGACGCTGACGACCGCCAGATCTAGCGAAGGAGCAGCCCGACAGAGGAGGCGTGGTGCGGGGCGGCGAGGTGCGGAGTCGCGGTGGCAATTTGGACTGGTGGGGCGGGGGTACTGCAACCGTGAACCTAACTTGCTGGAACCGGCGAGAAGATTTGCTAGAACCAGCAACCAAAAATGCTACTATTGGAGTTCATCCTCAGGGCGTTGCTACGACCACATCCTGTTTTTGCTACCACCGGTGTTTCTTTTGCTACATGCATGCACGGCGGTGTTGGTTGACAGTGGCAATGCCTTTTTGTTTTGCTGCAGCCGTCTTAGAGTTTTGCTGGAACCAGTGTACAATTATGCTGGAACGAGCTTTTTCTTTTTTCGACGGTGACCATGGCGACCACGGGGCGTGAGCTGACTT